AACACGGTTAATACAGGTTTAAGACATGAATCTTACCCTCTCTTCAATGAGCGGTGGCAGTCGATCCCTGCTCTCCAGAGTGCTGCTGTACGTCTCAGTGGGATCGACGCTCCTGAAAACACACAAAGTCAGGAGGTCAAAGGAGCACCCTAGCTGCTCTGATCAAGTTATAATGCAAAACAGGAATCCAGAAGTGCTACAAAAGCAGCCTGTTACTCACCGCTTTGGCCAATGTTGGCCGCTAGACAGGGCTGGGCAATGGGGTCGTCTCCGTCTGTGGGCTGGGCGGCTGGCTGCTTCGGCGTCGTCCCTCGTCCGGGTCCCTGAAAATATACAACTGAGAAGAGATTAGTAAAAATTCAAAACAGTGAAACAAAGCACAGAAATTCACAACAAAATAAGTTGAAAAACAAGTTAGCAGATGAAGACAGTTAGATCAGGAAAGGGCATAAAGGGGGATTGAGGGGAAGGGGGGGGATGGTTAGTTATGTTAGATTAGGGGAAGTGTTTAGGAGACAGAGAAGAGAAGAAGAGACAGAAGGAAATAAATTCAAAAAGCTTCTCTATTAGGCTTCCTGGTTGCGGAATTGGATCCTGGACTTCTGCTGGGCTCTGCTGGGCTCTGCTGTTTGCTGTGCATCCTGTCAATTGGAAGTCAAGAGGTCAAAGGCTGATACGATCAACATCCATTGGCAAGGAAAAGATCATGAAAAGCTGCAACAAGTAGAGTGTGAATCTTACCTCCTCTTCTCTACTTGACTGCAGTTGGGATCCGTCCGGGTCGGCAGACACCTCCTCTTCGGCTAATAAAGCAAAACCAAGACATCAAAACAACTTCGTCGAGTTACAAGAATTCACCCAGTGCAAACAGCTGAGTTAAGATATCCTTAACACAAACACACAGTAATGAAAGTGCACACAGTGCAAGATGAGTACATTGCGTCTTACCTGCACGTCAGGGATTGACCCCACTCCATCACACAACTGCTGCCTGCAGGTGACGGTCTGCTCTTCTTCCACGGAACCAGACCAGTCCAACCCCCGTACCTGTTAACAAAGATGTCTACAGGTCAAAGCCCGAGTAACACACCCGCAACAAGGAACGAGTAACAAAAGTCCACAGAGTGCAAGGAGTATACAGACTGCAAGTCTCATTACCTCCAATGCTTGGGTTGGCCGCAGTGTATCCCTGAACCCTTTGCACTTCTTCCGGCAGGCCGCAGTCCGCACTCTGGATCCAGAACAGCCAAACCAGGACCTGTTAACAGCAAATGTGCAGTAGTCAAACAAGTGTGCTTAGACCAATGAAAACAGTAGAAATGAAGAAACTCCACAGAGCGGGAGGCGTGCACAATGCATCTTACCATCCTTGGCTTGGCAGTCTCCTCTTCACACCCCTGGGATAGAGGGCTGCATCACACTGCATATCTACAGTAGAAAGACAAGACATCAAGAGAGGTCACAATCTGCTTCAAGTGAGATGAGAGAAAAAAAATCAACACGGTTAATACAGGTTTAAGACATTAATCTTACCCTCTCTTCAATGAGCGGTGGCAGTCGATCCCTGCTCTCCAGAGTGCTGCTGTACGTCTCAGTGGGATCGACGCTCCTGAAAACACACAAAGTCAGGAGGTCAAAGGAGCACCCTAGCTGCTCTGATCAAGTTATAATGCAAAACAGGAATCCAGAAGTGCTACAAAAGCAGCCTGTTACTCACCGCTTTGGCCAATGTTGGCCGCTAGACAGGGCTGGGCAATGGGGTCGTCTCCGTCTGTGGGCTGGGCGGCTGGCTGCTTCGGCGTCGTCCCTCGTCCGGGTCCCTGAAAATATACAACTGAGAAGAGATTAGTAAAAATTCAAAACAGTGAAACAAAGCACAGAAATTCACAACAAAATAAGTTGAAAAACAAGTTAGCAGATGAAGACAGTTAGATCAGGAAAGGGCATAAAGGGGGATTGAGGGGAAGGGGGGGGATGGTTAGTTATGTTAGATTAGGGGAAGTGTTTAGGAGACAGAGAAGAGAAGAAGAGACAGAAGGAAATAAATTCAAAAAGCTTCTCTATTAGGCTTCCTGGTTGCGGAATTGGATCCTGGACTTCTGCTGGGCTCTGCTGGGCTCTGCTGTTTGCTGTGCATCCTGTCAATTGGAAGTCAAGAGGTCAAAGGCTGATACGATCAACATCCATTGGCAAGGAAAAGATCATGAAAAGCTGCAACAAGTAGAGTGTGAATCTTACCTCCTCTTCTCTACTTGACTGCAGTTGGGATCCGTCCGGGTCAGCAGACACCTCCTCTTCGGCTAATAAAGCAAAACCAAGACATCAAAACAACTTCGTCGAGTTACAAGAATTCACCCAGTGCAAACAGCTGAGTTAAGATATCCTTAACACAAACACACAGTAATGAAAGTGCACACAGTGCAAGATGAGTACATTGCGTCTTACCTGCACGTCAGGGATTGACCCCACTCCATCACACAACTGCTGCCTGCAGGTGACGGTCTGCTCTTCTTCCACGGAACCAGACCAGTCCAACCCCCGTACCTGTTAACAAAGATGTCTACAGGTCAAAGCCCGAGTAACACACCCGCAACAAGGAACGAGTAACAAAAGTCCACAGAGTGCAAGGAGTATACAGACTGCAAGTCTCATTACCTCCAATGCTTGGGTTGGCCGCAGTGTATCCCTGAACCCTTTGCACTTCTTCCGGCAGGCCGCAGTCCGCACTCTGGATCCAGAACAGCCAAACCAGGACCTGTTAACAGCAAATGTGCAGTAGTCAAACAAGTGTGCTTAGACCAATGAAAACAGTAGAAATGAAGAAACTCCACAGAGCGGGAGGCGTGCACAATGCATCTTACCATCCTTGGCTTGGCAGTCTCCTCTTCACACCCCTGGGGATAGAGGGCTGCATCACACTGCATATCTACAGTAGAAAGACAAGACATCAAGAGAGGTCACAATCTGCTTCAAGTGAGATGAGAGAAAAAAAATCAACACGGTTAATACAGGTTTAAGACATGAATCTTACCCTCTCTTCAATGAGCGGTGGCAGTCGATCCCTGCTCTCCAGAGTGCTGCTGTACGTCTCAGTGGGATCGACGCTCCTGAAAACACACAAAGTCAGGAGGTCAAAGGAGCACCCTAGCTGCTCTGATCAAGTTATAATGCAAAACAGGAATCCAGAAGTGCTACAAAAGCAGCCTGTTACTCACCGCTTTGGCCAATGTTGGCCGCTAGACAGGGCTGGGCAATGGGGTCGTCTCCGTCTGTGGGCTGGGCGGCTGGCTGCTTCGGCGTCGTCCCTCGTCCGGGTCCCTGAAAATATACAACTGAGAAGAGATTAGTAAAAATTCAAAACAGTGAAACAAAGCACAGAAATTCACAACAAAATAAGTTGAAAAACAAGTTAGCAGATGAAGACAGTTAGATCAGGAAAGGGCATAAAGGGGGATTGAGGGGAAGGGGGGGGATGGTTAGTTATGTTAGATTAGGGGAAGTGTTTAGGAGACAGAGAAGAGAAGAAGAGACAGAAGGAAATAAATTCAAAAAGCTTCTCTATTAGGCTTCCTGGTTGCGGAATTGGATCCTGGACTTCTGCTGGGCTCTGCTGGGCTCTGCTGTTTGCTGTGCATCCTGTCAATTGGAAGTCAAGAGGTCAAAGGCTGATACGATCAACATCCATTGGCAAGGAAAAGATCATGAAAAGCTGCAACAAGTAGAGTGTGAATCTTACCTCCTCTTCTCTACTTGACTGCAGTTGGGATCCGTCCGGGTCGGCAGACACCTCCTCTTCGGCTAATAAAGCAAAACCAAGACATCAAAACAACTTCGTCGAGTTACAAGAATTCACCCAGTGCAAACAGCTGAGTTAAGATATCCTTAACACAAACACACAGTAATGAAAGTGCACACAGTGCAAGATGAGTACATTGCGTCTTACCTGCACGTCAGGGATTGACCCCACTCCATCACACAACTGCTGCCTGCAGGTGACGGTCTGCTCTTCTTCCACGGAACCAGACCAGTCCAACCCCCGTACCTGTTAACAAAGATGTCTACAGGTCAAAGCCCGAGTAACACACCCGCAACAAGGAACGAGTAACAAAAGTCCACAGAGTGCAAGGAGTATACAGACTGCAAGTCTCATTACCTCCAATGCTTGGGTTGGCCGCAGTGTATCCCTGAACCCTTTGCACTTCTTCCGGCAGGCCGCAGTCCGCACTCTGGATCCAGAACAGCCAAACCAGGACCTGTTAACAGCAAATGTGCAGTAGTCAAACAAGTGTGCTTAGACCAATGAAAACAGTAGAAATGAAGAAACTCCACAGAGCGGGAGGCGTGCACAATGCATCTTACCATCCTTGGCTTGGCAGTCTCCTCTTCACACCCCTGGGGATAGAGGGCTGCATCACACTGCATATCTACAGTAGAAAGACAAGACATCAAGAGAGGTCACAATCTGCTTCAAGTGAGATGAGAGAAAAAAAATCAACACGGTTAATACAGGTTTAAGACATTAATCTTACCCTCTCTTCAACGAGCGGTGGCAGTCGATCCCTGCTCTCCAGAGTGCTGCTGTACGTCTCAGTGGGATCGACGCTCCTGAAAACACACAAAGTCAGGAGGTCAAAGGAGCACCCTAGCTGCTCTGATCAAGTTATAATGCAAAACAGGAATCCAGAAGTGCTACAAAAGCAGCCTGTTACTCACCGCTTTGGCCAATGTTGGCCGCTAGACAGGGCTGGGCAATGGGGTCGTCTCCGTCTGTGGGCTGGGCGGCTGGCTGCTTCGGCGTCGTCCCTCGTCCGGATCCCTGAAAATATACAACTGAGAAGAGATTAGTAAAAATTCAAAACAGTGAAACAAAGCACAGAAATTCACAACAAAATAAGTTGAAAAACAAGTTAGCAGATGAAGACAGTTAGATCAGGAAAGGGCATAAAGGGGGATTGAGGGGAAGGGGGGGGGATGGTTAGTTATGTTAGATTAGGGGAAGTGTTTAGGAGACAGAGAAGAGAAGAAGAGACAGAAGGAAATAAATTCAAAAAGCTTCTCTATTAGGCTTCCTGGTTGCGGAATTGGATCCTGGACTTCTGCTGGGCTCTGCTGGGCTCTGCTGTTTGCTGTGCATCCTGTCAATTGGAAGTCAAGAGGTCAAAGGCTGATACGATCAACATCCATTGGCAAGGAAAAGATCATGAAAAGCTGCAACAAGTAGAGTGTGAATCTTACCTCCTCTTCTCTACTTGACTGCAGTTGGGATCCGTCCGGGTCAGCAGACACCTCCTCTTCGGCTAATAAAGCAAAACCAAGACATCAAAACAACTTCGTCGAGTTACAAGAATTCACCCAGTGCAAACAGCTGAGTTAAGATATCCTTAACACAAACACACAGTAATGAAAGTGCACACAGTGCAAGATGAGTACATTGCGTCTTACCTGCACGTCAGGGATTGACCCCACTCCATCACACAACTGCTGCCTGCAGGTGACGGTCTGCTCTTCTTCCACGGAACCAGACCAGTCCAACCCCCGTACCTGTTAACAAAGATGTCTACAGGTCAAAGCCCGAGTAACACACCCGCAACAAGGAACGAGTAACAAAAGTCCACAGAGTGCAAGGAGTATACAGACTGCAAGTCTCATTACCTCCAATGCTTGGGTTGGCCGCAGTGTATCCCTGAACCCTTTGCACTTCTTCCGGCAGGCCGCAGTCCGCACTCTGGATCCAGAACAGCCAAACCAGGACCTGTTAACAGCAAATGTGCAGTAGTCAAACAAGTGTGCTTAGACCAATGAAAACAGTAGAAATGAAGAAACTCCACAGAGCGGGAGGCGTGCACAATGCATCTTACCATCCTTGGCTTGGCAGTCTCCTCTTCACACCCCTGGGGATAGAGGGCTGCATCACACTGCATATCTACAGTAGAAAGACAAGACATCAAGAGAGGTCACAATCTGCTTCAAGTGAGATGAGAGAAAAAAAATCAACACGGTTAATACAGGTTTAAGACATGAATCTTACCCTCTCTTCAACAAGCGGTGGCAGTCGATCCCTGCTCTCCAGAGTGCTGCTGTACGTCTCAGTGGGATCGACGCTCCTGAAAACACACAAAGTCAGGAGGTCAAAGGAGCACCCTAGCTGCTCTGATCAAGTTATAATGCAAAACAGGAATCCAGAAGTGCTACAAAAGCAGCCTGTTACTCACCGCTTTGGCCAATGTTGGCCGCTAGACAGGGCTGGGCAATGGGGTCGTCTCCGTCTGTGGGCTGGGCGGCTGGCTGCTTCGGCGTCGTCCCTCGTCCGGGTCCCTGAAAATATACAACTGAGAAGAGATTAGTAAAAATTCAAAACAGTGAAACAAAGCACAGAAATTCACAACAAAATAAGTTGAAAAACAAGTTAGCAGATGAAGACAGTTAGATCAGGAAAGGGCATAAAGGGGGATTGAGGGGAAGGGGGGGATGGTTAGTTATGTTAGATTAGGGGAAGTGTTTAGGAGACAGAGAAGAGAAGAAGAGACAGAAGGAAATAAATTCAAAAAGCTTCTCTATTAGGCTTCCTGGTTGCGGAATTGGATCCTGGACTTCTGCTGGGCTCTGCTGTTTGCTGTGCATCCTGTCAATTGGAAGTCAAGAGGTCAAAGGCTGATACGATCAACATCCATTGGCAAGGAAAAGATCATGAAAAGCTGCAACAAGTAGAGTGTGAATCTTACCTCCTCTTCTCTACTTGACTGCAGTTGGGATCCGTCCGGGTCAGCAGACACCTCCTCTTCGGCTAATAAAGCAAAACCAAGACATCAAAACAACTTCGTCGAGTTACAAGAATTCACCCAGTGCAAACAGCTGAGTTAAGATATCCTTAACACAAACACACAGTAATGAAAGTGCACACAGTGCAAGATGAGTACATTGCGTCTTACCTGCACGTCAGGGATTGACCCCACTCCATCACACAACTGCTGCCTGCAGGTGACGGTCTGCTCTTCTTCCACGGAACCAGACCAGTCAAAAAAGTGTTTTGAAAGAATTTCACAAAAAACTGTAAGAGGAAAAGTGTTTTAAAAAACTGTTTACAGACAGATGGAGGATGGACACCTTCATCCTGCAAAAGCTTTTCTGGTCTCTGACCAGTAGAGCTAACAAGAGGCACATGGGCCACATCATTCACCTGAGCAATTTGGCTACAGAAAAGCTGAAAACATATCAGTATTGAAAAGTTGAAATATATAACTGCATGGTCTCAACCTACCCCCTCCCTCTTCTCCTGGGGCATGATTTGAATACACTACCAGAGGATGTTTATGTATGACTTATAATCATGGCTTTCCTGTTCTTCAAATGGTAATTCCTATAGATTCTTATGTATAATTTTGGTCCCCTATTGTGACCCTACCTTACCTTCTGGGGTCATGATTTGACAAAATTTAAATCTACACTATGTGAGGATGCTTTTTTCTTAATATAACTAATCAGGGCTTTGCTGTTCTTCAGAGGAAGATTTTTAAAGATATTTCTTATATATTCTTCTGCCTCCTTTTATAAATTAACATTTCTGAATTGCTTGTAAATTAATACATCATTTTAGATTTAGACTGTACATGCTATTACAAGAAAAACTAGTGCTAATTGTAATGGGAACCATTTCAGGTGTTTCCCAAAAAGCTTCCCCACTCCCTTATGGGCCTCAAAAGCTTCAATAAATTGAGCAATTCTTCTGTTTGATAAAGGATGTTTCCACTTAAGCTTATTGCCATGACCCCTTTTCCAGACCCCTCTAATATCATCTAATGAATTCAAAGCTGAATTATTTTACATGTATACATTTCTTTGTTGTCTGTGTGGCACAATACTTGTGGAAATTTACATTAGGAACGCAGGTATAGTTTTATTAAAGGTCATAGGAAATGATTCTTAACACTAGGATTTCACTTTTTAAACCTAAAGCTATATATGAAAGAATGTTAAATTACAAGTAGTAATATTTTTTTACCCTTGTTCTACTGAACCAGAAGTCTCTGATGAGACTGTAGCTCTACTGGTTGTACTTATAAAGGAAGATAAAAGTAGCACTTGGATTTGAAACTTTGCAATAGGAAATAAAAATTGGCGGCAAAAATTGCATGAAAATTTTCCGAGGGGTGGATAGCACAAACTATACCCCGGGGTATGGCTTTGCTATGCATGGAAATTTTCAGACTATAAAAGATAGTTATTTTACCTTCTTAACTTTATATAGGAAACATTTTAACAGAAGTATAATAAATGTGTTTATGTTTTCAAGTGAGTTATCTGATTTCATAGTTCAGTCAATTCAGTTTGAGCGAGTCCTTAATAAGGCACAGCAACTCAAAACTGGAGCTTTTTATCGTCGGATGATCCTGATGAATATCCTATATAAAATTAATTTAAGCTACAACTTCGATTACTTACTCTACATCAAACCTTTAGGCCAGCATTTTTTTTATTTTTAGGTTTACGAACACCAGAATGAAAAACTTCTGTAGGAGGAGGAAATAATTTTTTGGGGGGGGGGGGGATAAATTATTGACTTTTGTACATTCATTTTTGCTTCTTTTTTGATGCTCTTCTAAAAGGCTCCTTGCCTCTGGCCACACAATGGTTACAAATAGGAAGGTAGAACCTTACAGCATTTTTTTTCCTTATATAACTGGTACCGATAAACGGTACCATTCCCAATGCCAAAAAACTTTAATTTTTCCCAATTTTGAGACTAAAAATTCCCAAGCAACAGACAATGATGACATATCATATTACTTTTTATCAATTGACTAATTGTTTCACTTCTGCTTAAATTGAAAGTAGAGATTAGTTGTAATATGGCTGGACCTGTGGAGTAGACAGCATAGTGTCATACATTTTGACAAATTGAAAGCATGAAAATGTGAAAACAAGGGACATTGATATGAAAAACATTAAATACTTGTTTTTATTCTTTATAACAATAAGTAATAGGTAATGAGGCTGGAATAAATGCAAAATACGTTTCATTTGTTTAAATGTCGGAAAATTCTCCTTTGTTTTACTTCGATGCTATTTTTCCCAGTTGGACTGGCACTGGACCCTTTCCCAATGGGTAGAAAAAAATCACTGCCTTAAATTGTTTATTTCATTGTCTGCCAGTTGAGGACAGTGATATAAATTTTGAGATGTTGGTCAAAAAACAAATTTAAAAAAAAAAATAAATTTTTTTAACTATTTCAATATATTTTCATTTTTTTTTAAATAAGTGTCAAGTTACTGTGTAAAAATTGTTCTTAAAATATACTCAATACCTTAAATAAAAATTCCTATCATATAATAGACAGGGAGTATTGGGGAGGGGGTTAAATTTTTTCAATTTAAGTGTAAAATAATTTTTCTGGCTGCCATATTCAAAAATGATACTACATGCCTGTATAGATTTGTATATACTTGTTTTCTTTTATAATTGAAATATTTCATTTCTTTAGGCTATATATCTTATTTCACCCTCAAATGGACTTAACTTCTCCCATAGTTTTATTCATTACATCTGATGCATATAAGCAATCCTTTTTCTGAAGAACGTTGCTTAGACTGTAAGCTATAGCATAGACCTAAACAATGTCTCTGTTTATAGCTACCATGGACAGTTTTTAAAGTGACACAGTGATGGACAAACTGGAAAATTGACAACAGTAGAATTTTTGCATGATACATTCAAATTTTGTTCAGTTCTTGAAGATATTAGGTTTCAGAAAATTACAGGTTTCAGAACCTAAAAAATCTAATTTAATGGAGAAAAATAAAAGTAAAAAAAATCTTTGTATAACCCATCACAAAAATATTGCTTCACTTTTTCCTCTTTATTGTATGCATGCGCTGAAAAGTTGAAGAATTTTCCATGGTTTTGACTCATTATGCAACTTTAACCTGTGGAAGAAAATTAATTTACATGCAGATACTTTTGAATACAGATACATAATTATCTCACCAACGTTATTGTGCAACAGTCGTCAGAATTTTATTTTGTCCTCTGAACGGTTGAAACGTTTTGAATGGCACTCGTATCGATAATTTTTACACTAAACCAAGCTATGATGCTGCTCTAGACTCTGCAGATCTACTAGATTTACCCACTTATATATGTTTATCTTAAACTGGAAGTACGAGTTCGTAAATTCCAAATTTTGATCCCAACTCAAATTCGACATTGGAAAGAAAAAATCCCATTTTTCTCACTTTTATTTTTTTCTGAAAGTTCAAAAACTTAAGCGGCGGGTTTGTAAACCTAAAAAAAAAAAATGCTGGCCTTGGAAACAAAAAAATATTTCCCTGTTTAATACACATATAGGACATACCAAGAGGATTTCATTGTCATTAAAAAGTTATTAAGTCATTTTTTATTCCAAGAAAAATCGCATAATGCAACATAGAGTATCTAGCAATTTAGTAAAAGTGACCTTGATTAAGCCTATAAAATTCTGTTAAAGAAATATATATCATATGTATGTGGGGAATAGCC